GTCTTCCGTTCCATTACGGTGGCCTTCATAAATTATTAAACTCAAAATATTCTGAGTCCACACAGTTCCTGAGAAGGAAAACATTTTATTTGGACCTTGTTTGTTTTTCATTTCTTTCTTTCCTTGTTCWAAGCTTGTATATGATCATAAATAGAGCCTCTTCACAGATGTGAGATAGAAGCACTCCTTAGCAGACCAAAGACACCAAGCACTGTCTGGGACACTGACCGCTGAGTGCACAAGGCAAACATAGCTTTCTTTAGTCATTGCAGAAATGTCACATTCTCTAAATTAAACATTTTATKTCTTTACCCACTGTATTCAAAACAAGCTACATGTGTCCTCAGGCCTTGATGCCAAGTGAATTCCTGCATCTCTGTGGACCCCAGATCTAAAACTCTCTTCTGCTGAGGGGCTCTAGAAAATATGGTCTCTCCCAGGAACCCTGCCAACTGTTGTGAGATGTCATGAAACCTACAGCTAATAATGCCAACTTTGCGAGGCACTGATGAGCCCCACAAAGCAGCTGCTTCCACCAAGTAGATCCCTAGGATTCCTAGGGAAATTCTGTTTCCTGGGCTATGGTGCCTCACTGTRCCTCCAGCACGAATTGTGTGTTGGGGGAGGATGGTGCAAGGTGAATGCTGAGTACCTGACTCCTTTGGGTAATGAGAAGAACCATTTAGCCTTCTCAAAATTGCATTGTGTGGCCTTTTTCCCCCTTCTATTCTACCTGTTCTGTACTAGAGTCCAATTCCTTCCTCCCAGTGTTTTTCAGACCAGTAAAGATGGACACCTGAGAGAATTGCAACCCATGCAGATGTGCTTGTGTAGTGTCAGCTTGCTCTGAGTGCCTCTACAGGGCTGAGATCCAAGAATGATGAAGATTCGGATGGACACAAGCAGGAGCCCCAGACCTGTCTTATCAGGCCATGGCTCTGCCCCATATTTCTAACAAACACAGATCCCTCTATGGATGCTTTATTTTGTTTGATTATCTGCTTGATTTTTTTCATATGGGGACAGCTATGTTCTCACCTGATTTTGGAAAAGTAGCTAAGAAAACATCACTGTCTCTGATT